AGAAAAGAATATCACCTCTTCTTTAAAACTTACTGTATCATGTTGTGCCTTTTTTAAAGATAGTTTTGGTTTGGTGTAATTCAGTGTCGTAATATAAATGGTATATTATTGAATCGTAGGTTTACGTAATATGGTATAGTATCCTGGCTGATAAACTGTAATCATGTGGCATGAAGCAAGACGCCAGGAAAAACTTATTCGATCCCAAATGATAGACAGCGTTAAAAGGAATGAACGAAGGAAACTTTTTTACGAAAATGTGGTATGTTACTTTGGTCATATTAAGATCTGTGCCATGAATGACTGCGAATGGGAGCTGACAGTGCAGCAGCATTTTTTTTTTTTTTTTGCTTGGAATTTCTACCAAAAACTTATACATTACTACAGTTGGCAATCCCTACAAGTAAATTTTTCAAAGAGGAAGAAAATGATTTGTATTTTGAGCGAGAAAAAAAGCGAATTTTCGCCACTGAAAGAGTCTTGAAACAAATATGGGATCAGATCTTTTCACGGATTACTGCTTTAAAAAAACTCGAGTTGCTCATACGTTTTTCAACTTTTGAGACTCGCTGTGAAATTTTTTTATTCATGTAAACTTAGCCATATGGAACGCAAACCGTATCTTTAGAAAACCTTCATTAATTTAATTTTTTTTATTTGCCATTGCACATTTTCTATGAATACTAGAGAACTTGTGCCGCGTGCATCTAACAAGTGTTTTTTTTTCGCACATATTTTTTATATGCATTAACCTTCTTTCACAGACTTTAAGGGATGACTTACTGAAAAAGACTAGTAACACATAAACGTTCCTGATTTCTCCACTCATATAGAGGCGACCGGCCAGAGGAGGGCTTTTTGCTCTAATGAATACGGGAACAAGGGTGAGGGGGCAATCCTAGTATTCACGTACTAAGCATTTTTCAATGTAGTTTTTGTTTAGTCAACGCTTTCTTTGAGTAAGAGGACGGTAAGTAGTGGGTTTTTTTAAAAAATGCTTTAATAATTTTTATTGAATAATTTATTTTTCCTATTTTGAGCAGATAATTTTATTTGAGTTACTGAAAACGTTTTTACACATTTTTCCGTCTGATTTGGTTATCTTTCGTCCTTTACATTTGAAAAGAAAATGTTGTTTTGCATCAGTATAGATAGTGATTTTCAGCGAAAAGATCCTGAACAGTTTATGCAAATCCATGGAAGGAAGTGTCAAATACATGTTGATCCCGCAGTTGCTCGTGCTGCCGAGGCATCGAACATTTTGTTCGTAATTCCTTTTAAGATTTTCAGAGAAGCCGGTCACAGAATTGCTTTTAAACCCAGTCATACAAATTTCAATTTATTTACTGAAATTTTTAGGCGTAAGTGGCAGGGTGATTCAAAAGTTTTAATTGATCGGTTCGATGCTCGTGCGCATTTGGATTACATTATGGAACCAACAGCAACGACTTCCGAACAGCGGCAAGCACATTTTCTTATGGGCTGTTAAACTATCTTCACTAGTTTATTCTGTTCATCTTGATCTAGTCAGCTAGCTATGTAGCTGTTGTTTTAGCTCCTCGGTTATTTTTCGAAATATGATGGGGGGTTGGGAATTCTCCAGTAAGGTATCTTTTTAGTGTTTAACAAATTTTACTAGGGTTTCTTTTTTTTGAAATACATGAGACAAGAGATGTCAGGCAGCGGTTGTAAAACTTGTTAAAATTTTTGCTTTGGAAAAAGATGGTGAAGAATTCGATTATTTGAAGATTATTTTTTAATCTTTTTTAAACCCGTAAATTAACTGTTACTTTATTTATTGGTTGAGAAAACAAGTACAGGATACGCGTCTAAGTACATTTTCTCAAAAACCTTTGTTTAGTTTGACACCGGATGTCGAAGAGTTGCAGTGCGAATACGAAAGGTATCGCATTCTCATTCTGAACGAGTTTGAGAGAGGTAAAAAAAATTAGTTTTAGTAACTTTAGAAGGATATAATAAGTCTGGAAGAGTCTACTCGTTTGTTCGAGAAAGTGTAATTTATATACGTTTATAAACAAAATTTATCAGGAGACTGCACAACTTTCGAATTCATAAAGTGCAATAATTTTATTCTGTTAAATGTTCAGAGCGTGGAGTTCAATTTCAAAAATATAATGCTAGGTAATAAAGTTACTGGGACTTTCAGTTTCTGAACGGGGTTTTCTGAAAAACATATGCGAAAAAGAGTTTTGGCCTTCGGATGCTGCGTCATCGTCTAGTAATCGCAGCGAAATTGAGAAAAAGAGGCAGCTGTACGTTTTGTTAATTCGTCTAACCTTGCTTAAAATCTGCTACATACTGGCTACATATTTTCCCGGTCCTTTGTTGTAGGAAGGACAAGAAAGCTGCTGTTGGTTTTTCTTATGAGGACACTCCTACAGTTATGGGGGGTTCTGAGATGTCAGATGAATCAGAGGATGAGGAAGAAATTCTGGAGCCTGACGAATTTGGTAGACTTTTTATTCATATTTAACCTACTCCTCATGTGAATTTTAAAACTGCAGTCAGTGTAATCTAAATTAACATTTTACCGGATGATTTGAAAAGGAAATATTTTCTTTTATCTGTCACTTTTTTAATTGTTTGTTGCGATGTGTACTATTTTTAGATTTGAAATTTGACATTGGTTCCCTAGACGCAGAGAAAATACGGCAGTTGAACAAATTAGGAATGAAGTATGGCATAAGTTCTGGTGCATTTTCAAGCCTGCTGCAGATGGATCGTCGAGAACAAGATGAAACTCATCAATTGAAAGAAATAGAGAAGGCGAAGCACGCACTCGCTGTCTGTAATTCTCTGATTATTATGCAGTTATTCTGTGCGCCATTTCATGTTCAGCAAATCGCATTGCTCTGAAACTCTCAAACTCTTTATCGTCTTTAATGGATAAATCGGTTTTGATCGATCGTCTGAAGAAAAAGCACTTATATGGTTTTTATCATTAATCGACTTTATCGTTTCTTTCCAGTCGAGCCTCTTTACACTTCTTAAGTGACTGGATAAAAAAACTTTTGTATATATGGCATAGTTAGAACTGGTTTCCTGCGCTGATCAAACTCTAGTCTAAACTGCGATTTCAGACTTTTTGCTTTAGTTGTCGTGGCTTCTTCTTTATGCTGTTTTGCAATTTCTTTTTCGGTAGAAAAAGGTTCTAGTCAATTAGTTCGCTAGAAACTAAAGCTGAAAAGAAGTTGTTTTGATTTTTTCGATGTACAACTATCACGCAGTGAACGTTTCGTGATACTAATGATTTATCATTTTTTAGGGTCGACAAGCAAAGGCTGAACGTGCCTTACTAAAAAAGAAAAGAGCTCTTATAGTGGGAAAAGGATGTCTTAATGAGGAAGCAACTACAACGTTATTATCTTTTGTCGCTCAAAATAAAAAAGAATATGTAGAATCGTAAGTTTAAAGTAACAAAAACTTCAATTTTGATTTTACTTTGTAAGAATCAACGGTATTCCCGGGAGTTCTTGCTAGATAATTCTCCAAATCACTTGTGCTTGCACGTTAAGTGGTAGAGAGGATTTCACCTTCAGTTTAATTGATTTACTGTACATTTAGCTCTTCCTCATCTCAATCAGAAGATGATGAGGAAACGACCGAATTTATTACCACTTTTGGTGGTGAGGATGAGAAGAAGGACACGCAAGTTGAAGAGGATGATGAAGGGGCAGCAGCATTTCACGGCCCAGTACTTCCCTCTGCTGAATTTCGAAGACTTTTGTCAGTTTTTCGCAAAGATTACACTGCTGTAGCTTCCACACTGTAACGTGTGAAGTGTTCGCTAATGCATTTAATATTTATTTAATTCTGACTACCTAAAGAGCTAGCTTTTTTTAGCGAAGTATAGGGTGTTGTTGGAGGGGACTTCTTGTCACTGTTCAATGATTTTACGCATAGTTTCTGTATCTTCTATTGAAAGTTGCCATAACTTCTTTTGCTCATAACTTGTATTTACTTGACTCAAAAAGTTTCTTCAACAAGAAGAGGAGAGTGCGTAGAATTGGGAAGAAATACAATCGATGGCTGAGGAGTCTTCGACTTCAGATTATATTGCTAGAAATTGGCAGCAAAAGCTTCATAACAGAGAGGGATCTGAAGTCTTCTCCTGTAATTATTTGTAACTTTACTGTAGGGTTAGCTGAAATACTTCAGTGGAACAAAATCGGGGTTTGTCGACTGAGGGAGGAGGAATGAAAAGTCTTGGTTTGTATGTGGGTATTTTAAAACTTGGGAAAGCTGAGTTAGTGAGACGCGCAATAACTGGTTGGAAACTAACGGTGACAGTACATCTCATTTTGTTAGTTGGTATTTTTGTGTTTTTAGAGAATTTTTTGAAACTACGTTAATTGCAGGAGAAGATGAGTAGTGTTGTAGTCGTAGAATACCGGAACATCAGCTTGATGTTATTATTTTACTCGTCTGACTCCTGATGTCTCCTCTATCGCCAAGAAGCTAGCGGCTAATGTCCGGTAGCCTTCTGCTCAAGTCATGCGCTATCCTTTTAGATCGTCGGAGACGATAAGAGCAGAGTTTTCCATAACGAAACGTTAAAAATATACAAAAGACTGAAAATGTGTCGGTCTTTTAGTGAATCGGGCAGGCGTTTTATTGGTAATGGTAGCATGAGGGAGGCTTTACTAGACAAATACTGTAAAGTAGAGGATCAAGGACATTGATTATGACGTTATTCCTTTCTCATTATACTCATTTGGCTTTGATTTGAAAGATATTTGTACATTTAAAGATGTATGCAGTTTTGTTAGTGGTGGAAAGCATATTGAGGAAGATATCTAGAGAGATGGAGTTTATGAACTGGTATACGTGGTGCATGAACAATACAGAATCAAAAAATATGATTTTGGAGGGACTTATTACAGTTGGTTATGTTAATTACTAAAGAAGTTTGGAGGCTTTAGTATTATAATGCACGCGTGGGTACTCCGTTTTTTACAACTTTATGGCATGCTGAAATCAGAGAAACTTTACTTTGATGATTTTTAAATCATTTATATTTTTTGTTTATGAGCTAACGGTTTTAGCGAACTTAAGACCCGTCGTTCCTCAAGTCCAGAGGATCTTGGTGGTGTTGTATCTGTAAGTAGTCGATCAAGATATCGCAGCCGTTCTCCTTATTGGAGGACCCGCTCTCGGAGTGGTGAACGTGGTTATAGGGGAACGAGAGCACGGGAGACTGATAGTTCTCGCACTCGAGGGAGACTAAGAAGCAGAAGCAGAGAAAGAGGGCGTGCGAGGAACATTCCTGGCGGAAGTCAGGAAAGAAGTAGCCGAAAGGAAAGATCCAGGAGCCGTGAGAAGTTGTTTTTTTTTGGTTTATTGGTAGCACACTCTTTCCTCCAGCTCTTTTCTTCACCACTTTAAGTTGTAGGGTCAGAAGTTATGAGAAAGGCCGCGATCATTCTAGAAGGTCTCGGTCTCGTTCCCAAAGTGCTAAAAAGAAGAGGATGCAGGACTCAGACTCATCAAAAAGGTTTGCTTTTTTTTTTT